ATATAGGCACTCTGGTAGCGTAGTGCCTAAGGCACTTGACTGCTAACCAGAAGGCTGGCGGTTCAAACCCACCAGCCATTCCTTGGAAGGAAGGTTGGGCAATCTACTTCTGTAGTGATACTGCCTCAGAAACCCGAGGAGGGGTTGCTATAAGTTGGGGCCGACTTGACGGCACATAACAACAACAACAATGTGTGTGTGTGTGTGTAGATAGATATCTCTATCTATCTATATATCTCTATATAATCTCTCTCTATATCTATCTGTCTATCTATCTATCTATCTAAATGGCTATATCTCTGTCTACCCAGCTTCCCTGAAGGCCCTGAGCAGCTCTATGCCATCAAGGAGCATCTGGGCCAGGAGGGCCTCCTGGATCGCTGTATCTCCTTCCAGGTGAGTCTCCCAGCAAACACCATGGGTGGTGGGCAGGGGACTGGTGGGACCTGGGCCTGGCTTGTGTCTTAGCCCTTTATTCCTCATGTCTCCCCAGGCCCGGTCTGCCAAAAAGGAGGAACTGATGTTGGCTCACAGGTGAAAGCTTGGGAGCCTTGTAGGGATGGGGAGGAAGCTGCCCTGAGCTGACCAGGGTGGCTGATTGCTTTGGAAAGGAATGTCATGGGCTCTTTGGCCTTGGCCAAGTAGCTAATCTGAGTGTCATCACCTGTAACATAGGGGCTAATAAACATGACTTCCTCAGGCAGCTTCAGTATGTGTCAGGGGCTTAGAACAGTGCCTGACATATCATCAGCCCACGAGGAGCTGTTGTTAGTATAATCTGGTTGTAAAAAAGATGATGGATATGTGGGTTGTTCCCCCAGAGGGCTATAGGAGCCCAGAATAAGAGGCCTAGTGTCATATGGTTCAAGGAAAGCTAGCTTGGCCGAGGAGGGTATCTGAGTTGAGCTTTAAAGGGAGAAAAAGAATGAGTCAGATGAAGAGTAGGGCTGAGAGGGAAGGGAGTTACAGGCTGGTGGAACAGTATGGCCAAAGCCCTGGAGGTAAGATTTTCTGTGGCCAGAGCTGGGGGACAAAGGAAATTACTGGAAATGAAGCAGGCTAGGGAAGGAGGGAATGTGTCTTATATCTCAGCTGTTTTCCAGGGTTGACAGTTGGGGGCCTAGATGGGGAGGGGACAGGGCCCTTGCTCAGGTCTGAGGAGGGAGGCAGGCCCCTGAATCCCATCTGCTATCTGTTTCCCCAGCCTAGAATACATTGATCTGATGGAGAAGACACAATACATGAATGAGGCGGAACTCCACACCGTAGCAAACACCTATGACTTGGTTTATCTGCATCCAGTATGGATGAGTACTGTGGGGGCAGGGAATGGCAGCAATCCTGGGATCCCTATCCCTAAGCCCACCCTGTCCTGGGGCCCTGCTCCCTTCTGTACACCATGGGAGCAGCTGAATAGACAGGGCTGCTTTCTTCCTTACTCCCTTTCTGACTCCCTCTTGTCACTGCAGAACTCATATACCTGTTCCTGCCTGGCCTCAGGCTCTGTCCTCAGGCTGGTGGATGCAGTCCTGGAGGCTGAAGTTCATAATGGCATGGCCATCTTCAGGTAGGAACCTCTGGCATTTAGCTTTTTACCTTTCTTTAAACTTCTCTCAAATTTAAAATTTACTGGTATTGGTAATATATTCATGCGGTTCAAAACTCAAAAGATGCAAAAGGGCATACGAGAAAAAGTCTCACTCCCATCTCCAGCCCCCAGGCACCTGTTTCTTCTCCTGCAGGTAGTCATTGTAACCAGTGACTCATGTATCCTCCCAAAAAGTCTGTGCTTAGTCAAGGAATAAATACTACGTCTTACTGATTCTAAGATGCACATTTTTTTTCTCCCATTTTTAACATCTTAAAATCCAGATGCCTCTTACAATGACATTTCAGACTTTAATTGACAGCATTTTCTGCTTTGTTGGTGGCATTTAGAATCATGGTACATCTTCTAATCATTAGCATCCCAGAGGTGATGAAATAGAGTCAATATATTCTTCCACCCTCTCCCATTTTGTTTACCACAAATGGTAGAAGCACTTGATACACTTTTACATTTTTCACTTATACATCTTGGAAATCTAAGCTTAACCAACAAAACCAAACCCATTCCCATCAAGTTGATTCTGACTCATAGTGACTCCCTAGGACAGAGTGGAACTGCCCCACAGGGTTTCCAAGGCTGGAAAACAGACTGTCACATCTTTTTCCTGCAGAGCAGCTGGTGGGTTTGAACTATTGACCTTTTGGCTGGCAGCCAAGCATTTAACCACTGTGCCACCGGGACTCCTTAAGTTTAGCTTGTTGTTGTTGTTGTTGTTTGCTGTCGAGTCGGCCCCGACTCATAGCGACCCCTCCTTGGGTTTCCGAGGCAGTATCACTACGGAAGTAGGATTGCCCAACCTTCCTTCCGAGGAGTGGCTGGTGGGTTTGAACCGCCAGCCTTCTGGTGAGCAGTCAGGTGCCTTAGGCACTATGCTACCAGAGCTCCTAAGTTTAGCTTAGAGTCATATAAAACTCTCTTGTGCAATTGTATGAAAACTTAACCAGTCCTCTGCTAATAAACATTTTGGTTCTTTCCATCACTTGGCTATTTTTAAAAAAATGCTGCAGTAAACATCATTGGACACTTATAAACACGTTATTTCACCTTTTTTGTTGTATAGATTTTGAACTAAATCCCCAGCAACAGAATGACTGGGTATGAGGGTGTATGCAGTTATCATTTGAATGAACACTGGCAAATCTCCTTTGGAGAGAGAGGTGTAGATGGGGGTGGTGAGGGTTCAAGGCCCCAGTTACTTAGTTCCTGGCAGAGGAGAGAGTCTTTCTGTACACAGTAGGATCTCCCCACCCATTTGTGGCCTTCCCTGTCCTCCTCAGGCCTCCTGGACACCACACCCAGCACAGTCTTATGGATGGGTATTGCATGTTCAACCATGTGGCCGTGGCTGCCCGCTATGCCCAGCAGAAGCATGATATTCGGAGGTCAGCAGCAGCAGGGCAGATGTGATTGGGATGGAATGAGGTGGGGTATCACGGTCTGTGTTCTTCCCCTAGACTTAACCTTGATCCCCTTACACAATATCCCCTCTCTCCTGGTTCACAGGGTCCTTATCGTGGACTGGCATGTACACTGTGGTCAAAGAACACAATGCACCTTTGATCAGGACCCCAGGTATGCCCCGAGTCCAACAGTAGATGCTAGACACCCAGCCATCATCCCTTACAGGCCTAGCCAGGTGGGTCCCAGGAGGGAAAGAAGGGCAAGGTGTTTACAGGGTCTGTGCTATCACACTGTGTGTCTACTGTCTCTCATCACTCTATGAGGCAGGGACTGTTGAGTCCCTATTTTACAGATAAGGAAACTGAGGCTCACAAGAGGTTACACGTAGAGAAAGTGGTAGAGACAGGATTTTGAGTCCACAAATATTTGATGATCTTTTCACTGAGACTGGAGTAAACCTCAAATTACAACTTATTTTTTCAAATTATGCCAATATTATAAAGTATATGTTCAAAAAATTACTAACACAGAAATGTCTAAAGAAGTCTGAGTCTCCTATAATTCCCATCACCTCAAAAATAATTGTTGACAGGGTAGATTATATTCTTACAGCATATAACCCTGATGGAGTAATCCATGCTCTTTCTGCAACTTACTTTTTCTTTTAAATCTACTTCATTCTTTGTAAGAGCTATACAGTATTCTGTTGTATGGCTGTATCTCTATTTGACCACTGGCTATTTAAAATGCTTCCCAGTTTTTGTTATTAGACAAGTCTATAATGAACATTCTTGTAAATATATGATTTTTCACTTTTCTGAGTGTATCTATCTGTAGAACAGATTTCTAATAATGGATTGCTGAGTCAGAGGGTCAGTATGCTTTAAATTCTGGTATATACTGCCAGACTTCTCTCCAGAAAGGTGGTACCAATTTACCCTTCCTACAGAAAGTGATTGAGTACTTGTCAGTATAGGACGTGACTAAGTAGTTATTGTTCTATCTAGCCTTCTGTCAAACCAACTGCATAGAATTCACTTTTTTCCCATTAGATCTTTGATAATGTCTTCTACTGTGTTTTCTTTGTTCTCTTCTGGACTCCTGTTAGCCAGGTGTTAGACCTTCTGAGTTGATCCTCTGTGTCTCCTATTTTTTGACTTATGTTTTCTGTCTCTCTTAACTTTTGCTGTGTGTCCTGGGAGATTTCTTCCACTTTATCTTCAAGTCCTTCTGTTGAATTTTGTATTTAGACATTCTTTTATTATTATTATTATTATTATTATTATTGTGCTTTGCTTTGTTGTGCTTCACAGAGTGTGTTTCTTTTTACAAACTGAAGGTTTGTGGCAACTCAGCATCAAGCAAGTCTGTTGGTGCCATTTTTCCAACAGCATGTACTCATTTTATGTCTCTGTGTCACTGTTTGGTCGTTCTCACAATAGTCCAAACTTTTTCATCATGCTATTATATATTTAATAGACTACCATATAGTATAAATATTAACTTTTATATGCACTGGGAAACCTGTATTAGGGGAAAAGAGACCCAAGATTTAAACAGGTTCGGTAGAGACCTTCTTATTAAGCCTTAGACAGGACAAAGACAAAGCAATCATCCATGATGCACACAGTACACAAAGCTGAATGGAGTCCACTGAGTTACAGCCATGGGACTAACTATGTGATTGAAAACAAAGGGAATCATCACAAAATCATGATTGGTGGCAGATTGATTCATCACTGTTGCAGGTGAGACTACAGAAGTGGGGGCGGGGACCATAATTAGAATATGTACATAATTGAAGATCAAAAAGGGTTACAAGATTGGTTCTGGGACATGATCACCTGCCTTAGGTGGTGGGCTGGTTATGACTCATGACTATGCAGCCTGAGTCATAGCCACAAGGTGGCTACAACATAATAGCAGGACCCCAACCTTAATTTAGGAGCTCTGGTGGCACAGTGCCTAAGGCATTTGACTGCTAGCCAGAAAGTTTAAACCCATCAGCCTCTCTAGAAGGAAGATGAAGCAATCTGCTTCTGTAAAGATTTATTGCCTTGGAAACCTGATGGAGTGGGTTTAACATTAATTTAAATTAGTGAAGGACACATAGAATAGTTCCCTAGTTTTTCTGTGTGAGCGTAATCTACTCTCAACCACACTGTTCCTGAGGGCAAAATGCACCTTCCTAGGTTTGTCCTAGAACTTGTCTATGCATAGACACAATGTTGGTTTAAAGGTCAGAAAGAACTCAGCTGGCATCTGACTTATATCAAGACTCAAGCCTTGTTTTCATTTCTGGTTTCTTAATTTGAATGCATCAATATTTATCAACTCATTGGCCAATCTTGTTTCATTTATATCTGTACCCACTGCCTTCCTCCTGTATTATTTTGAAGCTAATCCCAAACACCATATTGTTTCATCTGTAAATATTTCAGAATGTATTTCTAAAATGTAAGGATGCTTTAAAAAGAAAAAAATAGCATGGCTACAATATCAGGCATAAGAAAATTAACAAGAATTTTTTAATATTGAATTGTTCTTTGTGTTCTAATGAATGCACTGGAGGGTTCAGATTTGTTCTTTTGTGGATGTATTATTGACTATACACATGGGTATAAAGAATTGTAAATATATGCAATATAGGGAGCTCTGGTGGCATAGTGTCTAAGACACCTGACTGCTAACCAGAAGACTGGCGGTTCAAACCCACGAGCCACTCCTTGGAAGGAAGATGGGGCAATCTACTTCCGTAGTGATACTGTCTCGGAAACCCAAGGAGGAGTCGCTATGAGTTGGGTCTGACTCGACTGCACATAACAACAACAACAACAACACAATCCTCTTTAAGATTGTAAAATTTCTCTCCATGTCCTTCAATGCCCCAGCTCCCTTTCCCTCAGTCTTGTAACTTGAGAATCAGGGTCCTGAGATAGAGACAGATTAGACAGTCCTTAAAATGCTGTTATATAGACAATAAAAGCAAATAAACTAAAACTGTTGTTGTCATGTGCCATGGAGTCGATTCCAGCTCATAGCAACCCTGTAGGATGGAATAGAACCACCCCATAGGATTTTCTAGGTTGTAATCTGTATAGGATCAGGTCACCAGGTCTTTTCTCCCATCAAGCACCTGGTGGGTTCAAACTTCCATCCTTTTGGTTACCAGCTGAGTATTTGACTATTGCACCACCAGGGCTCCATAAATGAAAACTAGGTAGTTAAAAGAAACAAATTTGCTGACCTGGTAATTCAGCATTGGCTATTCAGTGTTGATTTAGAGTATATTGACCTGGAATCTCAGTGCTTGATTTCTCCAGAGGAGAAACCTTAGGTCATCTTCTTCTTTTTTTCAATAATATTTTATTGCATCTTCAGTGAAAATTTACACCATAAATTAGGTTCCCATTTAACAACTTCTACACATGTTGTTCAATGACAACAGTTACATTTTTCACAATGTGTCATCATTCTCATTAATTCCATTATGGCTGTTCCCTTTCCAGTAATCTAGTTTCCCTGTCCCCTTACCTTCTCATCTTTGCTTTAGAGTAATTGTTGACTATTTGGTCTCATATAGATTATTTTTTAAAGGAGTGCCATACTCACAGGTGATATTCTTTATTTTATGAGTTAATCAGGTCATCTTGAGGGTAAGGGAGGGTAGGGTGTCCTTCCCCCAGCTGTTTAGCATGGAAGAAGGCCTGCGGGTCCAATACCCCATGGGTCACCCCACTGTCTTTTGCACCTAGTGCCTCAAAGCCCTGAGGCTTTCCACCTTCCAGAGACATGTTGAAGTCTCTGATTGTCTGACATCTTTTCCCTCGTTCTCTATGTCTTTCTGGGTTGATGCTTATTTTAAATTCCTTTATTGTTGTCTGTCTGGGATTATAGAAGGGAGAGGAGGTAAACCTGTGCTATCAAGCCACCATTCTTTCACTGGAAGTCGGTCAAACTTATTTTAAAATCCCCTTCTGTTTTCTTTATAAACTTAAGTTTCCTTGAGTGTTCTTTTTGTTGACTCTGGTGACACACTTGTGGGATTAGCTTTCTTCAGATCTTTTCTTTATTGTTCTATTCCCCTGATGATAATTTTTATGGTCTACTCTTTCTCTTCTACTGAAACTGGTCTTACTTAAGTAAGTTAAACTGGTTAACTTACTTAAAAAAAAGCTTAGAACCTTACTTATTGATCATTGTAAAAACTAAAACAATGTTTCATTCCCCACCTGCTTATCAAGACCAGTTTTAGCATGAGTTTCATTCTCTAATGCCAAGATATTTTCCTTTTTTCAAAAATCCATTTATTAATTTGCATTAAATTTTGCGACTGTATTATCAACATTTATTACATTTTCTCTCTTAAGTTTGTCTAGCTTTGTTGCATACCACTATTTCTTGCATATCTCTAAGAAGAAATAAATGCTGCCCAGATTGTTTCTGGAACAAGGCACATGGTGGATGAGTAGATGGATGAAAGATTATTCATTTTGTTCTCCCCGGAGTTAAGCCCTCCCACAACCCTTTGCCTGGCTTTCCATCAGAGCATATACCACCCTGTCTTTTTGTTTTGTATGTCAATCCCCCTCGCCCCTCTTAGTGCTCAATTTCTCACCTATGAAATAGAAGAAGTAGTAAACGGGACCTGTAAGGTATTGGAGAGAAGGAACTCCATCTCCACATAGAGTCCCACGTTTCACCCATCCTAACCCCAAGAGCCTGTAGCCCCTGTGGATCTCCAATGTCACAGAGTTTGTCCTGCTGTTACCATCTTGGTCACAGAGGCAGATGGGCAGACAGGTATAATCTAGAGTCCTCTGTGGGATCAGGAGGCCCTGGGGGGCTGGGATAGACCCAAATGCTCTCAGGGTCTCTGAGCAGAGCATGGAACCAGATGGGCACAGAGTGGGGGAGTGATACTTGCTGAGGTAGGGGCCCTAGTGGGAGACATAATGAATGAATGAGGTAGTAGATGAATGAATGAAAGAATTAATAAATGGAAGAATGAATAAATTGGTGATTGAATGAAAAGGTAAATTAATAGAATAAATGGATGTATGGATTAAAAAATTAATGAGAGAATGAATGAGTGCTTGGTTGGGAAAACAAGTGATAAATGAACCATGGCAGCTGTGGATTGGGGGGTTGTCTGTGGAGATTGACTCTTCTCCAACCCCTCCACCTCTTTTCTCAACTCTGCCTCCAGTGTTCTGTATTTCTCCATCCACCGCTATGCACGTGGCCAGTCCTGGCCCCACCTGAAAGCTTCTAACTGGTCTGCCACAGGCTTCGGCCGAGGCCAGGGATACAACATCAATGTACCTTGGAACCAGGTCAGCGTCAGCACACTCTCTGCCCCTACAGTGACGCCCACCTCTGCCCTTCAGCCCATACAGTCCAGGGCAGATGATAGTGGCTGACCAACCCCATCATGCCTCTGTCTGCAGGTGGGGATGCGGGATGCTGACTACATTGCTGCGTTCCTGCACATCCTTCTGCCAGTCACCGTTGAGGTCCTGGGGGCCTAGGGTTTGTTAGGGACAGGGCAATGTAGAGGGATGGGACACAAGAGCCTCATGTTATCTGTTCCCTCCTCAGTTCCAGCCCCAGATAGTGCTGGTGGCTGCTGGATATGATGCCCTCCAAGGGGACCCCAAGGTAAGACAGATTCCCTGGGGTGGCAGGTAGACAGAGGGGCTGCATGAAGCCAGGCTGACCCTTTCTGCCCCTCAGGGCGAGATGGCTGTCACTCCAGCAGGGTTTGCCCAGCTCATCCATCTGCTCATGGGTCTGGCAGGAGGCAAGCTGATCCTGTCTCTAGAGGTCAGTGATGCACCATGCCCATAGCTTTGTCCATCCACACAACCTTTGTCTCAGCCTGTGGATTCTGGAGTGCTTAAGAACCAGGCTTACAAGTCCATCAGGGCTTTCAGTCCCAGCATTTCTACTTACTGGTTCTGTAACCTGACTTAACTCACTTAACCTCTTTGTGTCTCAGCTTTTCTTACGTAAAGAAGACATAATGATAATAGCAGTCACCTTAGATCATTGTCCAGTGTATTAATTGAGGTCACTCTATAAATTTCTTGTTGCTTGACATGTAGTATGTACCTTATTATTATTCCCTGAGAATACCTGGTCCTCTCCTGATCCCCTCACAATTCCTCCTTCCAGGGTGGCTACAACCACCACTCCCTGGCTGAGGGCATTAGTGCCTCACTCCACACCCTTTTGGGAGACCCTTGTCCCATGCTGGAGTCCCCTGGTGCCCCCTGTTTGAGGTGAGCCTGGGTGAAAGAGTGGGTGACTGGGACCCTCACTGCCCCCCCAGGGCCATTGCATCCATTCTTTGCCTCCTTTGCCCTCCAGTGCCCGAACTTCGCTCTCCTGCACTCTGGTAGCCCTCCAGCCCTTCTGGGAAGTTCTTGTGCAGTCTGGTAGGAAGTGGAAAGTGGGCTTGGTGTGGAGGGTTGGGCATGAAGTGAGTGATGGGGGCGACCCTGTTTAAGACCCCCTCCTTTGGCTTTCCTGGGCCACCTTGGCAAGGGAAGGTCAGGCCTTCTCTTTCTCTGGGCCCTGCTTGCAGGCTTCCCATCCCTTTTCACATTTGGGTGAACTGAGTCCCAGAGTATTGTGGGGGCCAGGTTGGGAGAGTAGGGTGAATATGACCTCCCACTTGTAGTTGAGACTCTTGAGGAAGACAACATGGAGAAAGACAAGGAGGAGGGGCCGTGGGAGCCCCCTGCACCTCGAATCCTGACCTGGCCAGCGACGCATGCTCGAACAGGGCTTGTTTATGACCGGCGTATGATGAGTCACTACAACTTATGGGACAAGTATGCAATCTCAGGGCCAGGATAAGTAGGTGTGGGGGTCCCTCCCCTGCTCCTCAAGCATTGAATCCCACCTCTGGCTTCCCCCCTACTCCCAGCCACCACCCCGAAACACCTCAGCGCATCTCGCGAATTGTGCACCATCTGGAGGAGCTGGGTCTCACCAGGCGCTGCCTCACCCTGCCTGCGCGCCCTGCCACAGATGCTGAGCTGCTTGCTTGCCATAGGTCAGACTCCCCATGCCAGAGGGAGCTGGGATCTCGTGGGCTGGAGCCTGGGGTTTCCCTCCCAGTATGTGGGGGAGTGTTAAGCACACACAGCTGCTGTGGCATCCAAAGGGACTGGAACCACCTCACAGCCCTTTGGTGCTCCTCTCTCTACCTCCAGTATTGAATACATGGCTCAGCTGCGGGCCACTGAGAACATGAAAACCCGGGAGCTGCACCGCGAGAGCTCCAACTTTGACTCTATCTACATCTGCCCCAGCACCTTCGCCTGTGCACAGCTTGCCACTGGCTCTGTGTGCCGCCTAGTGGAGGCTGTGCTCTCTGGAGAGGTGCGTCCTTTGTAGTGTGGGCTACAGGCTAGGGAGGGGAGGTGCTGGGGAAGTGGACCGAGAGGGCTGTGGGAGAGTTGGGCAGGGCCTGAGGGAAGGAGGTATGCTGAGGAGCCTGGAAAGGGAAGTGGGCCTAGAAGAGATGGGAGTTGTAGGGGTGGGGCAGGAGGCAAGGGAAGGGGCCCCTAACAGCTTGTGGAGGAGACAGCAGAGAGGGAAGAAGAGAAGAGAGGGGAGGGATAATGATCAATCTTAGCTCCTTGCTCCTCTCTCAGGTATTAAATGGTACTGCTGTGGTGCGCCCCCCAGGACACCATGCAGAGCGGGAGGCTGCTTGCGGTTTCTGCTTTTTCAACTCTGTGGCTGTGGCTGCTCGCCATGCCCAGGCCATCAGTGGGCATGCCCTTCGGTGAGGGCTCTCCAGGGACCCCCAAATCCTGGCCCTCAGTGGGACTTGGTAACCTCCCCAGCCCAGTGCTTAGCCAGCAGGCCCCATAGTGGCACCTCCAGAATGTACCCAGAAACAACCAAGGGTCTACTCATTTAGCACTTTACTCAGAGGACCAAGGATCTAGCTTCTCAGCACTTACCCAGATAGGAACCCCAAGTTGGAGCACCCTGGTGCTTATAAAACAGAATCCATGGTCCAGTCCCCTGCAGTTATCCATGGTCCTGGCCCCTAGCAGTTATCTGAGCAGAACTCAGGGTCTAGTCTTCAGTACTTGCTCAAGTCCAGAGTGAAGCCCTCAGGACCCAGGATCTGGCTTCCACTTTTCTTTGATAGGACCCAGAAGCCTAACTGACACCCAGCACTTTCCCCAAGGAACCTGGGTCCTGCCATCAGTAATAAATTCTGCAGACCCAGAGGTCTAGCCTCAGCCCTCTCCCAGGGGGTACATGTCCTGGATTACTAAGGACCTGTCTCCTCCCTCCCCCCCAGGATCCTGATTGTGGACTGGGACATCCATCACGGTAATGGAACTCAGCACATGTTTGAGGATGACCCAAGGTGAGGAGCTGGGGCAGGGATGTAGCCAGAGAGGTGGGTAGGCCATGCCTCAGGGATCATGGAGGCCCATTCAGGCAAGGCAACCACCAACCAACCATGCCCTCCTTTCCCCCATCCCCCACAGTGTGCTGTACATTTCCCTTCACCGTTATGATCATGGCACCTTCTTCCCCATGGGGAATGAGGGTGCCAGCAGCCAGATTGGCCAGGCCTCTGGTACAGGCTTCACTGTCAACATAGCCTGGAATGGGCCCCGCATAGGTGACCCCGACTACCTGGCTGCATGGCATCGCCTGGTGCTTCCCATTGCCTATGAGGTACTGCTCAGGATATAAGTGACATGACTGTGCAGAGGGGGGCCTTCTCAGTGTATGTGTTTCTGACTGTTGGGCACTGATGATATGTGATAGCCTATGATGGCTGTACATGACTGCTAGGTGATGTGACTCTGTAATGGCCTTTGTATACTTGTCTGACTTTGCACAGATGCTATACGTGACTGCCTTCTCTGTGTGATTAAGTGAGATTTTCTGAGTGTTTTGTGTATGACATGTATATGTATATATGTGTCTTCTGAATGCTCAGGGGTGGTCTGTGTTTGACTTACTGTATATGTGTGCTCTGTGTATACGATCATGAGTCACTCTGTGTCCCTCTCCATGTGTGAGGGTAACTGTGTGTGACTGTCATCTCTGTGGAACTGTGTGTACAAGGGAGGGAAGAGGCCTGACTTTGTGTGTGAGACCGCACATGTGGCTTTTTGTCACCACCTTTTCTGTGTCTGATGTGTGGGATATTATATGTCACTATATGTTGCTATCCCTATGACAGCATATGTGTGACTTTCTGCAGTGGGGGGCTGTGTGTGGCAGCCATCTCTGTGTATAACCATGGCTATGTGAGTCTCTCTGACTAGGTGACAGCCTGTATATATTTGTTGGACTGTACATGAGTGGTTGTTTGTGACTACCTCTTCTTTGTGTAAACTGTGAGACATTTTGTGTGACTGATTATGTATGTGTGACTAGCTTTGTGAGGGTAGGGGTATGTAACTACCAGGGACTGCCATCCCTATGAAACTGTAATGTGGTATGTGTGTGCAATTCTGTGAGTGTGTCTGGCTTTGCACAGGTGGCCATGACTACCTTCTATGTGATTGTGTGGAATAGTGTGTGCAGTTGTTTGTGCAAGCAGTGTGCATAGATGTTGTGAATGTGTGGTGATGGCCTCACTGGGGCTACCAATGTATGTGAATGATTGTGTCTGTGCAGGGCTGGTTTAGGTTGTCGCCCATCTGAGAGAAACTGCATGTGCATGACTAGTGTGAATGTGTAGTCATGGTCTGTGTAGGACAGTCTGATTGTGTGTGGGTATGTGTGACTGTATGGGACTATCTTCTCTGGCTGTGGCACTTGCATTGTCATCTTCCATGATGAGTGTGTTTGTGCCTCTGTTTGGCACTGTGTGTTTAAAACCCTGTATCTTGTGCATGTGAGTCCCATGTGTGACCCACAGAGAGGAGTGTGCATCTTGTGGTCTCCCCCTGGGGTACATGGATGTGAGAACATATCTCTGTCTCTCTGTGATTCATGGCACCATCTCTGGATATCTGAGTCGCTGTGTCTCATGACTATATATCTTCTGTCTCTGTCCATCTCTCACATCTTCATTTCTTTCTCTCATGTCTCTGAGTCCATGTCTAGTACGTCCATATCTCCATGTGTCTTTGTCTCCTCTCTTGGAGTCTTGAGCCTCTAAGTCTATTTCTTTTGTCTCTGTGTCCTCCCCTTCATTGTTGTCATCCCTCTGTCTCCATGTCTTCATTTGTCCTTATCTTTGTGCCTCTATGTAATGTCTCTGGGTGTCCTTGTATCTGTCTCCATCACCAACTGCTTACTGAAGCCTCAATCATTATGCCCATTCATTTTTTCTCTCCCTGTCTCAGTTTAACCCAGAACTGGTGCTGGTCTCAGCTGGCTTTGATGCTGCACGGGGAGACCCCTTGGGGGGCTGCCAGGTGTCGCCTGAGGGCTATGCCCACCTCACCCACCTGCTGATGGGCCTCGCCAATGGCCACATTATTCTAATCCTAGAGGTAATGCTCCCATCCTTCTTCCTACTGTGGGAGTGTAGTTTAGAAGACTTGAGAGTCCTACCCTTTCTGCTGACTGGCTGCATTTTGGGACAGTTTCCTAAAATGTCCTTTGAGCATCATTTTCTCATCTTTATCAAACTTGACAGTGATGGTGCCTACCTAGGATTGTTAGCACATACAGGACATCTTGCCCTCCCAAACTCCCTGAGGAGTTTCCCTCCCCTTTTCCTTAACATAGGGTGGCTATAACCTGACATCCATCTCAGAATCCATGGCAGCCTGCACCCGCACCCTCCTTGGGTATCCACCACCCCGATTGGCCCCTCTGCGGCCCCCGCTATCAGGGGCTCTGGCCTCAATCTCTGAGACCATCCATGTCCATCGCAGATACTGGCATAGCTTGCGGATCAAAAGTGAGTAGGCATGGAGATTTGGGGGCAGTGGAGATTCAGGGAAGGAGGGGACTCAGGGAGGGGCAGGGATTAGAGGCAGAAAAGGGAAACGAAATAGCACCCACGCTCAAGGATCTCCTTCCCACGATTCTAGAGGTAGAAATCGAGGAGGAGGAACTCTCCAGTTTTGAGCCAGTCACCAAGAAGGAGCCTGAACCAGTCGATCCTGGGTCAACTGAGGGAATGAGCACACCAGAAGAAAACATTCTGGAAGCAGGCATGGGGAAGGCTACCTTAGCATCACTCGTAGAAGAGTCTACTCCAGGCCAGGTTAAGTTAGAGACAGCCGTGGTGGAGCTCATTCAAGACCAGTCCTTGGAAACAGCTACCAGTGGTGCCATGCTGGACCAGGCCACCTCAGAGGGGACTGTGGGGGATACCAAGGTAGCTTTATGCACTGACAACCAGACCCCCCAATCCTCACCTGTTTAGGGAACTACCCCTCACATACCTCCCAGTAACCTGACTGGTAGTCTTGGTACCTTGGATCTAAGCAAAAAGGCTCAGGTAAGGCCCACCACACCCAGGTAAAGAGAAGAGGGGGCAAGAATCAAGCCTCCTGAATACCTCTCTTACTTCTGTGTGTCTAGGAGGCCCCAGATTCTGAGACGCCAGACAAAGAGAAGCTACTAGGAGAAGCATCTGGAATTCAGAACCTGGGTGATTCCATCCTATTAGCTTTTGGAGACACTGATGAGGTGAGCTCAGGGAGAGGCTGAAATGATGGTTCCTTTCTCTTGCCCTCTGTGTCTCCAGGTACAAGTGTGTGGTATAAGAATTTGTGGTGAGGGAATTGGGTCCTCATCTTACTAATTTTCATCTTCTATTTTCAGGCCACATTTTATGCTGTGACACCACTGCCTTGGTGCCCTCATTTGACGGCAGTATGCCCCGTACCTGCAACAGGCCTCGACATGACCCAACCCTGTCAGTACTGTGGAACCATTCAGGAGAATTGGGTGTGTCTGTCTTGTTATCAGGTATAGAACACATGAAGGGCATGGAGTAGAGGTTGGACCAGGAAGAAAATCTCAGGTGAGTACTGCCCGCCCTGCCAAACACTCATCCCTCAACTTTAGGTCTATTGCAGTCGTTATATCAATGCCCATATGATCCGACACCACGAAGACTCAGGACACCCGCTAGTCCTCAGCTTTACCGACCTGTCTGCCTGGTGTTACCACTGTCAGGCCTATGTCCACCACCAGGTGAGCCCTGGGCAGATCTTTAATGCATGCACACTCAGCCCCCCACCCCAATGCCTTCTATGATTGGGTAAAAGTAGACTGGAGGTACCTCTGCTTGGCAATCTTGTGTGATTTTTTGTGTGTGTTGTGGAGGCTGTGGGATAGTCATTGGGATAGGGTGTTTGAGGGCTGGAGTAGATGTAGCCTCCTGGCTAAGGTAGAGGAGGCCTTCCTCACTCTTACCTACCTGTCTTGTCTTCTCCCTAGGCTCTGCTAGATGTTAAGAATATTGCCCACCAGAACAAGTTTGGGGAAGATACGCCTCAACCACACTAAATACCAGAATGCACTCTCTCCTCCACCCGAGGTTCAAGATAGAATAACTTTAGTTCCTTCCAACCTATACCTTGGATGAAGGATAGCCTCTCATTCAATCCCATCCTGAATACCCTGTACAACACCTCAAGGGTGCTTATTTAAGTATAAATATTGTTTAAGAGGACTGCATTAATCAATTGTGGATCTCCTCTTGCCCATGCCTCTTTAAGGACTCTATCTACTCCCTCCAGAGGAAAAGGAGGGCAACTTGGTGCCCTTAAGAGGGAACTGATAACATGAAGAGGACTATGGAGGGAGGGAGGATCATACTGGATAATGGTGTGGTTGCATATGTAATAAAGTTCAAGCTATTACAAAATCTAGAGAAAGTCTCTAAATTTGACTGAGTGGAGAATCCCACATTCCTGGCCAGCAGGAGAGATGAGGAATGAAGAAATAAGGGAATGGGTCTACATCAGGTCAATCCCTACCCATGCATTGCTTCCCCCAAAATACTAACAGAAAATAGAGCAGACAGCTTCACGAGTTCCACTAGAGATTAAATGGTTGAATACAGGAGAAATTGAGTGCCTGCCTTAGAGGTATGTGCCTCATGGCCAGCTCAGTGTGGGCTGCTCAGCCACACCCTAGGCTGACAAGGTAGGAAAACTATCAAGAAGTTTCCTTAAAAGGCCCCAGTCCCCCATCTGTCTGGTTGTGATTGGGGCAGGGGAGTCTAGGTTTAACATACCTGGGTGTGGTGCTCATGTAGGAAGGAGTACCTATTGTTGACCAGAGGTGGGAAGCTGAAGGACAATTTGGGCTTTTATTTCTCCCACATAATGAGAATTGCTTTGGCAGCTCAAGGAAGTCAGGGCTGAGGTCTCTTGGCCTTTTCTTCATGGCCACCTAATGATCCCTAGAGCCCAAGCCATTCAGTCAAGAAATAGGGAAACAGAAGGGCAAGAGAGCTACTGCCAGCTGAGTCAACCTCTTAAGGAGTATTCTGGATGCCTCACCCAACAACTGCTTACATCTCATTGGTCAGAACTGTCACCTGACTACTATGTCTGTAAAGGAGTCTGCGAAATTTCTTAGTTAGACATACACTTACCTCCGAAGAAATCAGGTTTTTTCTGCTCTGATAGAATAATCCCTCCCCTGCAACACTTTTCCTCCAGTACACAATCCACTCTGGAGCTACTGAAAAAGCCTGCTTAAGGCGGAATAGGGTCCATGGCCACAAGGAGGCCCTCACAAAACATTCCCCAAAGTCTGGCCATCCAGGTAAAAATCTACCCCCCCACACAAACAATAAGTCACATCCCAAATGAAGGCAAGGTAAGGGAAACAGCAGGACACAGGTGGGCACCTGTCGGGGTCTGGCCACCTACAGCACACCCTCAAGAGGCCCTCTTTCAGGCATGTGCTGGCAAGCCAAGCCGTGGCCCTCGCACTCAGCCCGGGGCCGTGCAAAGTTGCCAGCAGGAGGTACCCAAGGGCTGCAGCGGTTGCACATGCCCACTGCCCCATGGAAAGCAGGGCTATCTCCACATACTCTCAGAGTTACCTAGGTCCCAGCAGCCACCACCTTGTCTAGGACTGAAGTGAGCCTGCCAGCTGTACCCTAACTCCATCCCTGAGCCAGGAGATCTCTCTGAGAAGAGTTTTAGACATGTGACCAAGGTCTAGAGGTTCCAAAATCTTGGGATTGGGGGGGGGTCCCTTCCCCTACTGCCTCCCAGTCCTTCGCTGGCCTAGTCCAGCCCTGCTGTGTGAGGGAAAGAGACCTGGATGAGGGTGTCTGGTTGTGCATGAAGCAGGGAGGGTTCATTGAGACTTCCCTGCCCCCTTCTGTGTCCACCCTAGTTAATTACTCCCGGCAAGAAAAGAGAACTGAATGAGGTTGTACAGACTAAGCACAAAGTAGAGGTGGGCACAGGATCACCTCACCTAGTCAAAGAAACTGTGACCTGAGAGGCTAGCCTGAAAGGGACATTGTAGAGTCTCGTATTTGGGGTGACCCACCCCTGCTGTCTCCCACTCTTTCTGAACCCCAGCCCCTCAACTCATCCTCCTAGGTCAGGAAAACAATCCAGAACACGTTGTGAGTGGGATCACAGGGTCTCAAAGGCCTTGTGATGACACTCTAATAGCAGTTGAAGAGAAGGGTGGGATCCTACTGTTGTATCCCTGACTGACTATGTGACCTTGGGCCAGCACTGTCACCTCACTTCTCTGAGCCTTACTCTTCCTCATTGATAAAGGGGACTTGGTGATGATAACCTAGGCCTGACCAGGGTGTCATGAAGACTATGTGTGAGTGTGGGTGAGCACCTGGCACGTACTGAGCTCTCAATAAACAATATCTGCTGCTATTATCCCACCAGCCACTCCTCGGAAGGAAGGTTGGGCAATCCTACTTCCGTAGTGATACTGCCTCGGAAACCCAAGGAGGGGTCGCTATGAGTCGGGGCCGACTCCACGGCACATAACAACAACAACAACATTATGATTGTTATCACCTTTACCAAAAAGGAACAGCCCTTCTTACATCTCATCCATCTCAGATAGTAGCACCCTCAGCTTTCCAGCTGCTCAGCCCCAAAACGTGTGAGTTATCCTTGACAACCACCCCCACCCCAGCTGCCTTTTATCATCACTGGCCTGGACCACTGTAGTGGCCTCCTCACTGCTTCCACCCTTGCCCTCTCCCCTGTCTGTCCTCACAACTTCCAAATGTTGGGACCCCTGGGGCTCCATCCCCTGCTTACTTCTCCCTTCATGCCCCCCTCTTCCTGAGCAAGCACATCCAATGACCAATTTTCAGTGGTCTGGCCTGAGGACCCAGCAGCTGAAGCTCCATCTGGGACCTTGCTTTTCTGCATCCTAAACTCCATATCCCAAACTAAATATAACCTCCCATAATCACCTCATTCCTACCATCTTTCCCCAAACTGCCACTGCTCACAGTTTTCCAGAATTGTGATAAGTTATGGAGTACTTAGTGAGGGCCCACACTAAAGTCATGCACATAAGTTTGTTGAATGAATTAATGGTGATTTAATAACTAAAATTAATCCAGTGCTGTGTGCCTAGCCCCATCTAATGGCAAGATGATTTTATATATCTTGTTTATGGTCTGTTTCTCACCGCCAGAATATAATCCTCACAAGAGCAAGGATTTTCATCTAGTTATTCATTGCCATATCCTGACATACAGTAAGAGTCTTGAATGAATGAATGAGAGCTAAATGATAATAATGCCTAACATCAACCGAGGGAGCTCTGGTAGCAAAGTGGCTAAGGCACTTGACTGTTAACCAGAAGGCTGGTGATTCAAATCCACCAGCCACTCCTCGGAAGGAAGATGGGGCAATCTACTTCAATCGAGATACTGCCTCGAAAACCCAAGGAGGGGTCACTATGAGTCGGGTCCGACTACGGCACATGACAACATTAACCGAACACTCTCTGTGCACTTATCACATGTGACTGAAATATATTTTACATATTTACATTGTTTATTGTTTGGGTCCCCCACTAGAATGTAACCTGCACAAGGACCAGGAATTTTTTTCTTATTGTGATTTGGGTGAAAGTTTACAGAGAAAATTCATTTTCCATGCAACAGTTCATACACGCTTTGTTTCATGACTTTTTTTAATTCTATTGTGATTCGGGTGAAAGTTTACAAAGCAAATTCATTTTCCATACAGCAGTTCATATACATTTGTTTCATGACATTGATTACAATCCCCATAGTGTAACAGCTCTCTTCCCTCTTTCTCCCTGTGGTTACCTCTCCCCTGTGTCCTTCTTTCCTACACATCTGAGCTATCTCCCGGTACAAACACTGCCCTTCTGATCTCCCATGGTTGATCATTCTAAAGAGTGCACCTACCTGTTATAAATGTTCACCTGTACGCCTGTCTATTGTTTGGCTAGAAGCCACGAGAGTGAGTTCAATTCCAGGCCCAAAGAGTGACTAGAGGCCATTTTGTTGTGTTGTTATGTGCCATCGAGTCGGACCCGACTCATAGCCACCCCTCCTTGGGTTTCTGAGGAAGTATCACTACGGAAGTAGATTGCCCCATCTTCCTTCCGAGGAGTGGCTGGTGAGTTTGAACCACCAGCCTTCTGGTTAGCAGTCAAGTGCCTTAGGCACTATGCTACCAGAGCTCCCCTAGAGGCCATAGTCTTAGGGATTTTGCCAGTCTCTATCAGACCAGTAAGCCTTGTCTTTTCTTTTCTTTTTTTTTTTTTTAATGATTTTGAGTTTTGTTTCACATTTTTTTGCACTATATCCAGGACCTCCTATTTTGGACCAGGATTTTTTTTGTCAGATTTTTTTCACCTGTGTGTCTTTGCCACATAGTAGGTTCTCAAAAAATGGATGATAAGTAATTAATAAATAAGGACTAAGTTACAATGATGACGGCTAACAGATTACATAATTCACTTATTTGGCTTAGTATCAGTCTCCACCTTCTAGAACCTAAATTCCCTGAGGCTGGGTGAGTCTGAGAAGGCTACTTACTGTATGGTAGACACTGTGCCATGCTGGGATGCAACAGTGAGCACGACACACAAAACCCTTGCCTTCCACAATGGAGAGTGGCTGTTAATGGGCTGATGAAAATGTTCTAAAATTAGATATGGTGATAGTTGCACAACTTTGTGACTATTATTAAAGCCATGGAACTGTACACTTTAAATGGGTACAATTTATGGTATGTAAATTATCTCAATAAAGCAATTTGTTAAACAAACAAACAAACAAAAAACCTGCCCTTAACAAGAAGGATAGTGGTTGCACAGGGAGATAGCTTGGGCAGGTGGGGCAGGAGTGCATGGGAGGGAAGGACACAGGGAAGAGGTACCTATGGGGAGGAAGTGGGAAGAGAGCTATTACACTGTGGAGAATTGCAGTCAATGGTCATGAGACAAAATGTGTATTAACTGTTGTATGGAAGATGAATTTGGTCTGTGAACTTTCACCCAAATCACAATAAAAATTGAAAAAAAAAAACAAAAAAAAAACACCTGGCCTTACAGAGTTTATGCTATAGAAAGGATATCCGAACCAAAAAACCAAGCCCACTGCCGCTGAGTTGATTCCAATTCATAGCAACGCTCACTGGGTTTCCAAGGCCGTAAATCTTTACAGGAGTAGATTGTCTCATCTTCCTTCCATAGAGCAGCTGGTGGGTTTGAACTGTTGACCTTCTGGTTAGCAGCCAAATGCCTTACCCACTATGCCACCAGAGCTCTTTTTAGAAGGGATATAGAGACAATAAGAAACAGAATTTATACAGCATATTAGGTGATTAGCATAAATTAGGCACTCAGTGTTTATTCAGTGGCATCCAACTGTACCATCCCCACAAATTATCTCACCTAACCTACCCTACCACCCGCTTGCTTTACTTCTTTCTCTTCCCACTTGCAGGGTCTGGGGGCAACTTCTCTTCCCCGAGATGCCCACTGAGGGCATGGCACTGGCCACAAAGTTTAACGTGTTCGACATGGGCCTGGGCACATGGAGCCTTCACTCCTAGGAGAACCATAGAGCTCTGAGACACTGCAGGGGTGGCCAGAAGCTGCCTGAGTACAAGCCTGTGGTGGTGAGTGCAAGAGATGTGGGCAAGAGTGGGCAGACCACCCAGCTGAATCACCAGTAGAGAACCACAACCCCACAATCCAGGATTCTTACTGGAAGGAGTTGGTCCTAGACCATGGGGGCTGCATCCTGAACGTGCTGGATACAGCAGGCCAGGCAATGCATAGGGCCCTTCATGACCAGTGATCAGTGATGGTGTGTTGAGTGATGGTGTCTTTGCTCTCAATGACCCCTCCTCTGTAGCCTAGCTGCAGCAAATATGGGCCACCTAAGTCCCTCACCACGCCCAGCCCTCATCCTGGTAGGCAACGAGTATGACCTTGTGACCACCACCAGAGATGCTCCTGTCGCTGCTACAACTCTTGCCCAGAGCTGGGAGGGGGCTCCTTTGTAGAGACCCCAGCCAAGACATGCCAAGCTACAGAGGAAGCCTTTTCTCTGCTTGTCCATGAGATCCAGAGGGCCCAGGAGGCCATGGAAGGAGCAGGTGGGCATAAGACCAGGCACCAGAAGGCCATGTGCCACTGTGCTGCTCTGTGGCTTGAAGGTCTTGGTCCAGAAAAGTGGATCCTCCCCCTGGCCAGGGCATTGATTTCTTTGACATAAGACCCCCCCAGAACAACTAGCTGTGTGGGACGCCTTCAGTTACTGGGGATAGATAGATACCTGACTTGGGGAGGATTTCATTTGGCAAGAAGCTTTTTGTTAACATAGGGTGTAGTGTTGGTTCTATCATTGCAAGTTAAGAGATTTTATGCAAAATTAAATGGTGTTCCCAGGATTCCAAGCTGCCTCTGTGCCAAATGTTATCTGGGTGGGGGTGAAACTAGGTAGAATGTTACTTCAATTACAATAATTCTTTCATTCAAGAACTTTTGGGGCCAGGCCCTGCATTAGGGAACAGGGATGTAGAGGTGAACAAGGTATGTAGATATGACATTCTTGTGGGGTGAAGGAAATCTTTTTTTAAAAAAATAGATACATAATATAAGGTTGTGGAGGAGTGATACAGGCTATGTATTAAAGGCAATGGGCAGAACAGAGTGACAGGGATGGTCCTTAGCAAGGAGGTCAAGAAAAGTCTTTTTGAGTAGGTGACATTTGAGCAAAAACTTGTAGCTATCTATCTGGGAACTGAGGGAATAGCCGATGCAAAAGCCATGGCCACAAATTAGCTACCCACCACACCCAACTCCCAATATTTTCAGGGCCTCTATAGCGTATAAAGAAGCTCTGGTGGCGTAGTACCTAAGGCATTTGACTGCTAACCAGAAGGCTGGTGGTTCAAACCCACCAGCCACTCCTCGGAAGGAAGATTGGTCAATCTACTTCTGTAGAGCCCAAGGAGTGGTCGCTATGAGTTGGATCCAACTCCACGGCTATGTATGTGTATAGTGTATAAAGGAGCTCTGGTAATGTAGTGGTGAAGGCAGTTAGCTGCTAACCAAAAGTTCAGTGGTTCAAACCCACCAGCCACTCCACAGAAGAAAGATGAGGCAGTCTGCTTCCATAAACATTCACCACCTAGGAAACCCAATGGGGTCGCTATGAGTCAGAATCGACTTGATGGCATTGAGTTTAGTTCTTATAGTGTATAACTATTTTAAAATTACAAATCAAGCTAACAGAATCTACCCTCTCCTCCTACATTGACAAATACACTTTCTTAATTACTTGGACTTTCTCAGTCTCCTTGGAGTTCCATGAGGAATAGGATTTTGCTCAGAGGGCTGATGCTTGGCCTGCCCACTCCCTCCTTTCTCTTCCCACCCCCAGGCCCTGCCCCCATCTCCAGGACTCATAAGTATGCACTGACAGCCCAGCAGAGTCCACACTTTCTGCTCACAAGCCTCACAAGCAGCCACCTTTGACTACCTCTTGGCCCTCAGAAGGATGGATCCCCAAAAGATACTGCTCAAAATCTTTTGGGCACCATGGTACCTGAGTGAGGTCCAGAAGGTCACACAGGATGGTGTGGGCACTGTCATCCTCCATATGGATCCCTTCTACAGTGAGGAGAGGCTTGGCCTGGTGGGATGTGGTATGGGGGGTATCTCTAAGGTGTGGGATCCACTGGCAGGGGCTCTTCTGCTCTGATCTAAAGGCGGTCACCACCACCCAGGCCACCAGCCCTCCTGACACTACCACTCACACAGATATAAGTTCATAGCTGCTTTATGCCATATTTATTGTGGGGCCAGGTGGTGGGGATCTTGGGGTTAGAGGGCAGCAAACGGTGGTTAGCCGGAGTAGGTCGCTCTTGATATGTTGAAGGGGAGCAGTCTGGGTGTCGGACAGGTGGGCAGTCCTGGGTCCGAGTTTGCACTGGATTCCCGCAGTGCTCATGGCGGCAAAAGGCGGCGAACAGGCGCCTGGGGCGCGGGAGTCTCCAAGCGTTTCACGCGAAGAAGCGCCCCCAGCACGCCCTCAGGCGGCACTTCAGGGCCCAGATCCTGGTTAGCAGCTCGGCGGAGGCGGCGTGGGGCGGCCATCGCCTCGGAGTCCGGGCTTCCGGTGAGAAGCCGCCCCAGCAAGTACCTGCAGAGGGAATAGAGTGGAATGCAGTAAGAGTATGTCCGCGAGTCCCTGCCTTGCCCTTGGGATCCGGCCAGCGGGCCTGACCTACAACCCCATACTACCTGCAGACCCTGCAGTCCCCACCCAGGAATCCCCAACCCACTGGTGCTAGGAGGCAGAAGACCCCGTCTTCCATGCCAGAAACTCTGCCGCCCTGTCTCCCACGCCTACCCACAGGAACCCGGCATCAGAGCTCCCCTCCCCAGCAACAGGAGTCCACGTCCCGCACTGGCCCCAAGCCAAGCATCTTTGCTCTCATACCCTGATTCCAGTACCCTATTCCTTTCTAGGATCCCAAGCCCCAAGTCCCCCTTCTCAGCGCCAGATGCCCGCCCCTCCCCAGGACCACAGTGTTCGCTCCGCTGCCTCACTCCCCCCCCCCCACAACCAGGGTACCTTAGCAGTTCGGGGTCCACGTCGGGAGACTCGTCGCCAGCGTCTTCGGCGTCGAGGCCCGTGGGGCCGTCGTCGTAAGCCGGGGGCCGGATTCTGAGCACAGAGGCAGGGGCGGGGACAAGTTGAGCTGCTAAGGCAGCAGGGTCCAGGCGGGCGCGGAGCAGGGCACGCGCGAGCTGCGCGGCAGGCGCATCAGGATCGTCGTCCAGGGCCAGACCCGGGTCTGAAGTGCGGGGTGCGCCCCAGAGGCGCAGCAGCTGCGCCAGGACGCGCGCTTGCTGATCCTCGGCCTCCTGCGCCTCCGCCCGCGCCCTCTCCTGCCGTTCCGCTTCCAGCAGGTGCGCCAGCGCCCGCGCCAGCTCCTGCATCGCCCCCGCCGTCTCTCCCCGGGTCACTGCCCGCCGGAACCGGCGAGGGACGCCAGCCTCTGCCATGGGCGGCGAGGGTGCGCCTAGACCGCGGGGCTCCTGCAGGAACACAAGATTGGGGGAAAGATGTGCATCAGCGTCTATTCAGCCAAGGACCCACAACTTGGTGATGTCTATGGACTTCAGATATGCCAGATGCCACCAAAGGAACTGTGCTCTTCCCCCCAAAAAAATATACCTAGACACCCCTAAGGTCACTGGAGATCTCTAAATATATCTCCAGAAACACTAAAAACCACCAAAAACCTGTAGAACCCCCCCCCCTCCCGGTGACTCCCAGAACTTGACCTAGGGGCCCTGGAGACCTTTAATCATTCCAAAGGCTTTTGTAGATTCTTCCAGTCTCTCAGAAACTTCTCTATGACCTATTGACTCCCAGGGGCTTGCAGAGGCTCCCAAACAAACAAAACCCAAACCCACTGCCATTGAGTTGATTCCAACTCATAGGAACCCAGAAACTCCAAATACCTCTGCAGAACCTCAAGACCCCTCCTCCAAATCCCTCAGACACCTCCACTGACCTAGTGATTACCAGGAGCAGTCCTAAATACCCCTGGAGAACCTTAGACGTCCAAGGGCTCCCAGATGTTCCAGTGACTTCCTGGTGACTCACAGGGCCACTTCAGACTGCCTGAAACCACCAGACACCCCAATGACTTCCCAGTGACCCCTAGTGACTACCAGGAGCCAGACCCTCAGACATCTGATGACAATAACACTCAAACACACAAAACACACACAACAAGCACAAACTCCCACTCAAAGCTTGCAGGTATGTAACTCACTTCTGGTAATCTGAGGGACTACATCCTAAAAAAAACCCTCTTGCTCTAAAACTGCTATATATTAAAAAAAAAAAAAAAAACTGGATTTGTTATCTTAAAATACATTTTCAAAGGCACTGGGACATATCTACTTCAACCCAAAAGTCAGCACTAATGATTAATGGAAAAACACTAATAAAACACTAATGTATAGGTATTTCCACGAAAGCCAGAAAAAAGACAAATTTGTCCCCATCACCTCTTTTATCTAACAGTGTTCTGCATTTAACTGCTAAAGCAATTAGACAAGAAAAAGAAATTAGAGGTACAAAGCTTGGAGAGGGAAAGAGGTAAAATTCTCTCTATTTGTAAATAATGTAATTATGTACTAGAACATCTAAAA